TATAATCTATGAAATACATTTCAAGTATTTAGATTTGAATATATAAATAAATTTCAATTGAATTGTTTTGATTTTTATAGAAAATATCATCTCCAACTAAATGTTGTTTGTATTATCTTATTAAAGTCAATTTTATTGAATCAATCTTTCTTTATACAACACAAAATCTCTATTTATAAATATATTTGTCCCCAAATAACATTCAGACACATAAAAAAAAATCATCTTTCAGAATGGATATTTTTTTTTTCAAAATAAAAGAAGTCCTGACTACTTTCTTGATTAAATTAATGAAATGAATTGAGAAGAAAAATGAGAGAGAGAAAAGCAGAAAAAGAAATATTTATTCGTCGAAAAAAATCATATATATTGTCGTTGTGCATTATATATTCAAACTTTGAAAGAATATTTTTTTAACTTGCTTGCCAACAAAATGTTAGAAGAAAGAAAGAAAAGACGTCATTAATTAAGTTTTTCTAATGTAAGCGTAGAAATGTTGTTTTCTATTCACAAAAGAAGTTAACTTTTTCTTACCATAATTATTTATTTAGATATACTTTTTTTGTTAAGCAATATACTTTGTGTTATTATGATTATAACCGGCAGATGTTTTCTGAAGCTCTCTATTTCCATCGTTTCTTTTTTGAAGAAAAATCAAGAAGATTTTCCAACTAATTTTTTTCTTCTTTTGCAGACAAAATACATCATAGCAACATATAAATGAAAGAAAAACATGGGTAAAACATTTACTGAATGAATATTTTTCATTAAGAAAAAAGTACGTTAGAATGTGTTGTTATGATAAACAATTATTTTAGATTCCTGAAAAAACTGATTGTTTTGTTCTCAATCCACACTATTATACATAAATAGCAATCAGAATTATCACATTTATGAATAGAAACAGTGCGACAGAAAAACAAATGCGAGATTTTTGAAATGTTGTTATAGTGTATGTTATAGACATTCGAAAAATTCAAAAGCAATTAGTTTGAGTTAAGAAGATTGTATAGTTTGTTTTGGTTCATTTTTCTAATCAAAAACCTCATCTGATCACTCTCTGTTTAGATACTAATGATCGACTTTATTCTTCATGTATTTCATCTTTATTCATTTCCCGTAGAACTCAAAAGATCTATTTATGAATATATTTGTTCTCAAATAACATTTAAACACAAGCATATCATCTTTCTAAATGGATAATAGTTTTTCAAGATAAAAAATAATCAAGACCCAGGTCGATGGGTGGGTGTGAAATAAAAACAGCGTTCACACTCATACTCAAGCATAATCGTTGATTGTTAATCCGCTGTTATCAAAATCTAAAAAAAGTGACATAAATCTTTACACGTTGAAAAAAAATCATCTATTCTGCAGTTGTGTATGATACATTCAAATATTGAAAGAAAGTAAAGACGTCATCAACTTTGTTGAGTAATTCTTCTAATGTAATTATGGAGATGCCGTTTTCCATCCACAGATTGTTTGTATATATTATCATCGTTTTTCTCAACACCCATGTACTATTTTGAAAGTAATATCCTTTTTTCTTTTTGTAATTACATCAAACCTAGATCTTTCCAGAAGTTGTCTGTTTCTATCGTTTCTTTTTGAAAATAATCAAAAAGATTGTCCAACTAACTTCTTCTTCTTTTGCTACATACATTATATATCATAACAGCATATAAACAAAGAAAAGAAAAGCAAATTTTTACTGAATAAAGGTTTTTTCTCAAGAAAAAAAACAGTTAAGAATGTGTTATTATGATAAACAATTATTAAACTCATTTTAGAATAGCAAAAACAAAACTGTTTGTTTTTATGTATCTAATAAACAAGATGTTTTCTCTTGCATTAATACTATCATACATAGACATGTTTGGATCATTGTTACATTGATGAAGAAAAATGCGATTACCTATTGAATCACAAATAATAATATTCTTTTATCAATCAAAAATTGAAGAATAGAATACTTTGTGTTAAAGACAATTGGAAAATGCAAGCCAAATGTGTTTGAATTTTGAGGATTATTCAATTTCCTTTGTTTCTATATAAATTACGTGAGAATCGACTGATATAGTGCATGAATATCTAATTCATATATGAGCAAAATGGCTTAAATTATGTTTATTTTTATAAAAAAAATTTCATTTGCGACTAAATATTGATTATTATTTTTTTGAAACCAGTTTTATAGAGTCGATTGTTTTATATTTTTCATCTTTATTTACTTTCCATATAACAAAAAATGTCCTATTTGTGAATATATTCCTCTCTAAGTAACATATCAACAAAAACAAATCGTCTTCCCGAGTGGATATGTATTTTTACAAAATTAAATAAAAGTCATGACTATTTTTCCATTAGACGGATGAAATGAAATGAATGAAAGAAGAAGAAAAAATAGTTTTTATCGCTCAACAGATTCTTTTTCTTTTATTCTCAGTTAAATTCATTTTATCAACTTGCAGTTTAGTTGGTAATGGCTTCTAGAAAAATTTGTTCATGGTTTGTATTTATGATTATTACACAATCAGTTGGAGAAGATATGCGATCGGTTCAAATGTCTTTAATGCGTAATTCGAAATTTCAATGTGCTAATACAACTTGTTTACCATTTATTAATTTTATCACAAGAACTATTCTCAATTGTCAAGCAGGTTGTTTAGCTGTAATTGAATGTGCAGCAGCAAGTTTTCATCGATCAACGTCTAATTGTGAATTATTTACTGATATGTCAAATGAAATTGCACATATGCAGGCTGATACCGACATTACTACTATGATTGCTATTGCTGGAACACGATCTCCACCTGGTTAGTATGAATATAGTAGATTTTGAAAGAAATCATTGTAAAAGTATTGCTAATGGCACATCTGATAAAAGAAGATCCTCAGGGATGTTAATGAAATTATATAGGCATGTTAAGTGCAGTATACCTATCTCAAGTATGAAACAATTTCATACATTGCCTGTGCTAGAAGAAAACATTTTCTAAAAAATATACATATATGTTTTACTGTATAGCTTTTAAGAATTTTTAAAAAAATTGTTGAGCATTATTCTTCTGAATATTGTACATCTTGTTTGGGTTGTGTATTCTCTGTATTTATCGTTGAATCTTCCTAGATCTCGTGCATGAATCAAATGTATTCTATATTGCTAAGGGTACGAGTGTGAATTTTATAGTCATTACTATCCACACTAATCATTTTAATTGTAAAATACTTCGAAATAATTTCAAGTTAACGCGGCAAATCCATCAGACACTCCTTTGTTTCAAAGATATTTAGAAACTTCCATTATTTGTATGTCCTGAGTTCCTACCTCAATGTTGACGAAACTAATTTTACAACATTTAAAATACTGTGTGTGTTAATTTTGGCTTCAATCTGTAGTGACGATTTGGTTTCTAAAAAGAACATAAGATTTTTCTTCTACTCATCTTCTGATCCCTTTTACACTTGGATCTGAGAGAGTTTCTATATGATTAGAGCAGAAAACGTCAGAGGGTTCCATAACTGCAGAACCTCCCAAAAACTGCCACGTTCTGCAAAGCGTCGCAGAATCTACCCGAAACTACCACATCCTACAGAGCCTCACAGACCCTCCGAGAAGCTGCCACTTCCTACAGAGCCTCGCAAACTCTTCGAGAAGCTACTGCGTCTTGTAGAGTCGAACAGAACCTCTCAGAAGCTGCCACGTTCTACAGATCCGCACAGACGCTCTGAGAAGTTGCGACGTCCTGCAGAGTCGAACAGAACCTCTTAGAAGCTACCACGTCTTATAGAGCCTACCAGAATCTCCAAGAAGCCGCCACTTCCTACAGGGCCTTGCAAACTCTTCCAGAAGGTACCACGTCTTATAGAGCCTAGCAGAACCTCCCAGAAGCTGCCACTTCCTACGGGGCCTTGCAAACTCTTCGAGAAGCTACTACATCCTACATAGCCTAACAGAACATCCCAAAAGCTGCCATGTTCTACATTGTTGCATGCAGGACTTTCTTTGCGAGTTAATTATATTGTTTTTTTT